CGCCTACGCCTTGACTGCTGCGTCCGCCTTTGGCTTGCAATCCTTTACGTTTGCCACCCAGCTCTGAGCTGCTGGACAAGAAGGGAAATAAGAAGGGAAAATTACACCACCGTAGACCCCAAACAGTTTGTGTTTTTCAACATGAACACTCTGCAACTAGAGCTTGCGATGTCCAGAGCTGGGTGACAAAGGATTGCCAGGCAGAGGCAGCCACAGCAGTCCAGAGCTGGAAAGCAAATGTAGACACAGGAGACAAATGTAAAGGATTGCAAGCGACATGCAGCCCAGAGCTGGGTGACATGTACAGGATTGCAAGGCAGCGGCGGATACAGCAAACAAGAAGGGAGACAAGAAGGGAGACAAAAGGAAACAGAATCAATAGAAATGCTACATGGCCAGCGGAAAAGGGCGGACACCAGCAGTGACAGACCTGGGAAACAAATGAATAGAAGTGCTACATGGCCACCACCACCAGTGACAGACCTGGGAGACAAATAAACAGACATGTTGCAATTGAATAGACTTGAGAGAGGAGGGGATGAACGAAAGGTAGCAGGCAATCACATGTAACCCTGGTAGAAGTCCATGACGGCGTGAACCGGCGCAGGGGGGATTTGATCCAGGGCCCCCCCCCCCGACGAACAGAATCATCTCTTACAGGACCAAATTCAATGCACAATCCCAACTCCTGATTGTAATACATTTTTGCTAAAGCCAGGAGAACTCAGGTAGCTCAAGCTACCTTTCGTGAAATGCTACATGGCCAGCGGAAAGGGGCGGACCTCAGCAGCGACAGACCTGGGAGACAAATCAATAGAAATGCTACATGGCCAGCGGAAAAGGGCGCACACCACCAGTGACAGACCTGGGAGACAAATGAATAGACATGTTGAAATTGAATAGAAATGCTACATGGCCAGCGGAAAAGGGCGGACCTCAGCAGCGACAGACCTGGGAGACACATGAATAGAAATGCTACATGGCCAGCGGAAAAGGGCGGACACCAGCAGTGACAGACCTGGGAGACAAGTGAATAGACATGCTACATGGCCAGCGGAAAAGGGCGGACACCAGCAGTGACACAAAGGGCGGACACATCTCAAGAAGGAATTGAAAACCTCTAACAGTAAACTGTTTGGGGAAAAAGGAAACAGAAGGGAGACAAGCCGGACACAGTGACCAACAAGAAGGGAGACAAGAAGGGTGAGAAAAGGAAACAGAAGGGAGACAAGACGGACACAATAACCAACAAGAAGGGAGACAAGACGGACACAATGACCAACAAGAAGGGAGACAAGACGGACACAATGACCAACAAGAAGGGAGACAAAAGGAAACAGAAGGGAGACAAGGCGGGCACAATGACCAACAAGAAGAGAGGCAAGAAGGGAAACAAAAGGAAACTGAAGGGAGACAAGGCGGACACAGTGACCAACAAGAAGAAGGGAGACAAGACCGGAGACAAGGCGGAGACAGTGACCAACAAGAAGGGAGACAAGCCGGACGGAAGGCGGACACGCTGTCCCGCAGCAAGGCGGACACTCTTAGAAAGCATTGAGAACCCCTAACAGCAACCTGTTTGGGAAAGTAAAGACATCACTTGGGAGACAAATGAATAGAAATGCTGCAATGCTGGCACCAGCAGTGCAGGCACCGAACCTGGGAGACAAAAGTAAAGAAATCACATGGGAAACAAATGAATGGAAATGCTGCATGGCCAGCGGAAAAGGGCGGACACCAGCAGTGCAGG